TATATAATGTTATAATTTTTCAATTATATATCTAAACAGTCTGTAAAATATGAAACTATGCTAGAAGTGACCCTGATTCTAATAGACAGAGTTGCAAGATATCCTCTTAAAAATGTACAACATACCACCACATTGAATAGCAGCATATAATTTCTATAAATGATGTCTGAATAAAAGAGTAAGTTAAATATGTTATTGGTTACCTTTTGATTAGCAACTGTGTTTGGGCTGATTGATCATGATGGCTATAGAACAAAGTATTTGGACTCCAATACCATTTTTACATGTACTATTTTATAAAGGAGTTTTATGCATTTTTTACTCAAATACTCTGCTTCAAATTCTACTTCCTTTCTCTGCACACATGCCTTACCACTCAAGACCCTCATTTCCAATTAGACTTCTTATTGAACTAAATTTTTAATAAGATGAAGAGAGCTTTCTTAAATTGATTCAGTACCCAGAATTCAAACTGATGTGAACACTTAAAGAGTAATGTTATAAGGATCTTCTCCAGTGAATAACATTCAGTGGAAATATTGAAAACAATGAAACGCAGATTTTATCCTTGTTTTGTGTGACTGATCAATTTCTTTCAGCAGCAGAGTGCTACTTGAATCTTTAACGCACTTGGCTATATTTTAAAGTCTGGAAAAATGCAAATCTGAACATCTAAATGCATTTACTTTCTTCCAGGCGGTTCCGCAGACAAGACGTCCGGCATGGAAACGCAGCCCAGCAGTGCTTTGGCCAGCAGTTTGTCGGTAATCCATAGGAAATTGGTTGCTATGGGTTGCTTACAGTGTACATTGAAGAGATAGCGCACATTTCTTAAAAAGGGTCCTTGTTTCCTTTGTGATTGATATATACAAGCCCAGTGTTACTGAAAGTATTCTTTTTTCTTCCACGCAGTTAAAATATGAATTTGACCTATAATCTTTTCTGATTCAGTAAATGAAGTTTTATATACTAGTAATACCACCACTTTTGTCAAGAGTGCTCTAACTCGTGTTAAGTTACCTACTAAGTTTTGGGATAGAATCAAGTAGAAAATCTTTGATTCTTTCGCTGAAGTAGAACAAGCTGAGGGCTGAGGTTGGCTGCGCAGATGTTGGTTTCTGGGGAACAGGGGTAGGTAGGGACAGTGTTGCGGCTCTTCACACCGTGATGGTGGTTGGTGCATGGGCTGTGCTTACTGTCACCGGTTTCACCGGGAAGTCACGAAGGAAGGGGCACCATGGTTGCAGACCAGAGGTGTTTATACACAGTTCTAGAGACTGTGGTCCAGTAGTCGCTTGATGGACCCTAAGCTGACTCAGGATTTTGTGCAGGACGTAAGTCTCTGAGAATATTGGTTAGAGAAAGACGGATCTTAATCTTAGAGAAACGTAGGGGTCAGTGTTAAAGGTGAGAACACAGGCATAGGGAAAAAGCCCTGGGATCTAGTTGTTGAATTTGACCTTGGTTAAAGCAATAACAATTAAAGCCACTTGCTTTTATTCCCCACTGCAGTGAGGTATACCTGCCTGTGTGCAAATTTAGGTTCAAGTTCAGTGGGAGCCCTGCTGATCCAAGATACAGTTTATAATCAAGAAGCTCTGGTTCACAAAATCCTTAGTTCAGTTTCATATCCTTTTCTTACTGCAGGAGCCTGATATCTGGAAAAGTACAATCCCTTGTCAAGATGCCACTCACTCTGTTTACATAGAGCCCTATCACCTCGATTTCTGCTGTCTGCTTTTGTCTCATGCAACCGTGAATTGAGCCCTATGCCTTGCTTGAACATTTGTTGCTCACCTTTTCTTACCTTCCCTGCTAAGCACTTGCCACTGATTTCCTATGTATTTAACACTGATAACTAATTTAACACTGATGCATCCTTTTACTGTCCTCCTGATTGTCTTATCCTGTGAAACCAAACTCCCAGTTACTTCCTCCTGTCCCACCCAAAAGCCTGCTGTGTCTTTGATGTCGAGATTTTGGTATCCCACTAACTCTAAAAAACTCATTTAAGTTACCTTGCGTTGAAATTAGCAATAAATGAGAGTTATTCAGGGCTATATTTAACACTGATGCATCCCTTTACTGTCCCCCTGATTGTCTTATCTTGTGAAACCAAACTCCCAGTTACTTCCTCCTGTCCCACCCAAAAGCCTGCTGTGTCTTTGATGTCGAGATTTTGGTATCCCACTAACTCTAAAAAACTCATTTAAGTTACCTTGCGTTGAAATTAGCAATAAATGAGAGTTATTCAGGGCTCTAATGAATAATCTTTTAGAAATATTATTTACCAATAAAATCCAAGTCTCAAGGCTGATCTTAACATTCCTATTGTAGGGGATGCTTTGGATAAGACTGAAGAGCGACTGGCATATGGCATAGAGAACAACAGTACGTTGCTGGAATGCACTCCACGGTCTTTGCAAGCAAAAGTGATCTGGTTTGTACAGAAAGGACATGACACAAGGAAAGAGGAGGTAAGTCAAAGCTGCACATTCACACCATGGTGTCTTTCATAGAGTGAGCAAAAAGCCAATGGATGATTATTTATTGGATGCTTAAAAAGAAACAGTCTTCTTATGCTATACATGTCATTTAAAAAGTGGGGTTATTTACTGTGTGTTTTATATCTATATATCAGTTTCAAACACTTATACACATAGATGTTTATATACAGCTGAGTTAAATATAATATAAATAAATTACATATACACATGTTTATATATATAATTTAGATCCTGGAGGCTAGATTTTTATTCAGGAGGAACCTATAGCTTCATGATTTTAGTGCCATATTATCAAAATGATGCTCTTAACTTGTACCTCCCAAGGCAATGTTCTAGAAAAATAGCAAACTTAAACACCATTAACACTGTATCGAAGACTTATGGATAATCAAATTAAAACAGCAATAGCAGCCGGTATTAAACTGGTTGTTTGATAAAGCTGTTAAACATGTGTGACACGTTGACACTGGGGTTCCACTCTAGTCCACAGGGAACAAAAGAAAGGCATCAGCTCTTTTTATTAACCAGATGTAGTGGCGGAGCTTATGTTTCTATAATCATTTAAATAATGAGTGAAGAACAATGTGGGCAACGTTTAGGAGGACAGCAGCATTGAAAACATACATACAGACTAGTCTGGAGGTAGTTACTGGCTAAAAGAATGCAAGTCTAGGGAGCTGGTTGTTTATAGGAAGAGGTCCAGGGCATGAAGCAGAGAAACAGATAAATCTTTGTTGATGTCCCTTCACCTAAAAAAAAAAATCTTTGATGTTGATTTAGGATTTGAGCTCAATTTTCACAAAGGTGGGGTTATAAAAATAGAAAGTAGAAGAAATTTTGGTTACATTAATGGAAAATAGATGTTGGTGAATATTGGAGAAGTGGTGCTTGGTAAAGAAAAGTTTGCCCATTGAATAAAGGAAAGAAATTCTAGAGACCTGCCGTGGGACACAAGGGAGAGCTAATAGTGCATAATGGAGAGAGTGACTGAACGGAGTTTCCACCTCATTGTGGCGCTAGAGACCAAACATTTGTCATTAGAAGCCAAAATTATTGATTCCAAATATAGAATACATTGACTTTTTATGCTTTTTCCCCTAGCCTATTGTGAAACTAAAAATCCAACAGGATTTTGATCCAAAATTATACACTACATTCTGAAACATGATTATATTTGTAAATCCCAGGTTCCTAATATAGCTATTACAGAGTAAGTTGCTTCAACTTAACAAAGGCTCTAGAAATTATATAAAAAGGCAATCTGGCTGTAACCAGTTTGGCTCAGTGGATAGAGCGTCGACCTGTGGACTGAAGGGTCCCAGGTTCGATTTCGGTCAAGGGCATGTACCTTGGTTGCGGGCACATCTCCAGTAGGGAGTGTGCAGGAGGCAGCTGATCGATGTTTCTCTCTCATCGATGTTTCTAACTCTCTGTCTCTCTCCCTTCCTCTCTGTAAAAAATCAATAAAATATATTCAAAAAGAAAAAGTTCAAGATGTGGTTACACAGTTGGCAAAAAAAAAGGCAATCTGAAAAGGAGAATCCCCCTAAATTTTACAATGCCGTAAGAATAAATGCATATCCAAAATGTTATAGCACATTTCATTGAAGTAAATTATTGATTTAGCACTAATGTATTTTCCATTCCTCAAATTTGAGGTGAAACTGGTTTTTAAATTCTATCAAAACTTACTTGGCAAGAGAGGACCTGAGAATATTCTGTAATTATCCAGTTGAATGGCTTCAGCAGTCAGAGAAGTAATTTTTTCATCAGTAGTTTTCTTCATTCAGATTATTCTGTTTCTAATTTGGAATTCACCATAAACTGTCTTATTTGGAAATCTTTAACAAATAATTTTGACATGCTGCATCCATCACAATGTTCACTTTTAAGCTTCTTTCTCCCATTGTTGATATTTCTGATTTACCCATATTTTAATCCCAATTTTCAACTACATTTAAGTAGCCCTGACTGATATATTCACTGATATTTAAATTTTTGAATGTACTTTCTTCATTAAAAGTTTAGCTATAAGAAATTAAGATAGAACTTAATTTCTATAGACATAGCAATCTGATTTATTCACAATCTAAAGTAAAAAAAAAAAACACACCCAAAATTGACATCAACAGAAGCTGAATGTGTCTGCTGTATACACAAGCAGATGCACCTTTTAAACATTTTAGAGTCTGTGTAGAGTATTTTTTAAAAGATTTTGAGTTCAGAGTTGTATATAAAACCATTTTGTACTTATTACAGTTACTGTGAGGCAGCTAAGATAATTATTTTATCAAATCTTGACCCTGGAAATGCTTTTGAGAGTACCTGACTGTGGCCTTCAAGGCTCATCATGGACACTGTAAGCCACGAGAAGTCATTTATGTGCAGTCAAATCAGAGTCCCTGTGAAAATTGATTGTCATGTGTACATCTTCCTTTTCCTGAGCTGAAATTTTGAGTTTGGGGTCTGCCTGCAATCCAATTTCAGCCCTTTGAAGTCACACAGACACACATATTCAGGCGGATATTTCTGTTGAAATGAATCTTTAAAAATGCTTTAGATAGCCTCTAACAATTCAGTTGTCTAGTTTCTAAACTGGATTACTGCAATTTCCTCTTAAAAATGTACTTTATAGTTCCCTGCTTCCTTAAATACCATATATGAAACATAATCTCTGTACTTTTTATTTATTTCATAAATTTTTATTGAAAGTCTACTTTATTAGTACTTCATAAAGGAGCATTTTTCCTTGGCTTGATGACCTGGCTAATCATGGTGAGTCAGTCATTGTGAGGTACGGAGGGAAAAGGCAGCAGAAAAGACTTGATAGATGGAGCTGCTCTTTAATGTGTGCCTGCTGCACACGGAAACCATGCTAGTGCCTTACCTGGTTATCCTTAGATCTCACAACTGCACATGAGACATAGTAATCCTCCTCTTACAAATGCGGAAACCGAGAGAAGCAGAGCTCATAAACAGTCAGCGTGGCCCGTAAACATAGCTGGGAACAAAGCATAGCTCGTAAACAAAACTGAAAGAGCCATAGCTCATAAACAAAGACAGGCCCCAGATTGGGGCCAGGTATTTCTGGCATTTTTAGACTATATCATTGTATTCTAAAAGTGGATTTATAGATGAGATCATTGAGACACAGACTTTCCTGATTACCCACAGCTAGTAAAGTAGATTCACATACAGGTATCTATGTTCTTTAAACTAAACCACGTAACCTTCTGAAATCAGAATTCTAAGTACAGTTTGGGATGCTTTGGGACATGGGCCAAATGGAAAACAGTTTACTGCTGAAGTTCTGGAATTTGATTTCTGAAAAAAATGCTCCTGGTGTCAGCTTGAGATGTATAGATACAGATTAGATATAGATATAGATATAGATATAGATATAGATATAGATATAGATATAGAGATGTAACTATAGATGTAGCTATAGATGTAGCTATAGGTGTAACTATAGATGTAGCTATAGATATAGCTATGTTTTTTCCCATCAGAATTTAGTGGTGTATACTGCTACAGCTTTGGTGCAAAGCCAGTAACATCGTGTTTAGATGTCTGAGAACCTGCCATTATCTTTATGTGCAATGGCACATTAGCTGAAACATTTCCCACTCTAAGCATTAATACTAGGAGTCATTAGTATATGATATACACATGAATGTATTTCTAATCTTTTCAGACTTCTACTCTATGTCTGTTAGTAGAAGAACAATTCTGTGTCAAAATAACTGTGTTCTATCATTTGAGTTCATGTAGATATAAAACTCAGAGCACTCTATCTCATTTTCTTGGGTTTATGTATTCATTTGCCTTATTCATTCATTTGAAACTTATTTATTGAACATCTACCATAAAGCACTTACCACATATTCTGCTTTCATAGAACTTGTATTTTGGACAACAAAGAAAGATGATGATAATAATAATAATAATGACAACCAACAACAATACTACTAAATAATAATTATGATTAATGTATCAGATGATCCTAAGTAGGAAAATGCAAGAGAGATTGCTTGCAGGGAGAGGTTGCAATTTTTTAAATGGGTGATCATGGAAGCTCACCAGCAAAGTGATATTTAGAAGAAGACTTGAAAGGGGAGGTAAGAGGCCACATGACCACATTGGAGAAGAACTTTTAGGACAATGAGAACAGATGGTACAAAGGCCCTTGAGGTACCAGTGCACCCGATATCTTCCAAGAACATCAGGTTGAAGGTCAGTGTGGCTGGAGGAGAATGAGCACCAGGGAGACTAATAACTGTGAATCATAGGGCAGGTAAAGGGCAGCTCAAGGAAGGATTTGAACATTTTATAGAGTGGCTTTATTGTTTGCTCTAAGTTAAGTAGAAAACCATTGGGTAGTTTTCAGCAGAGCCATGATATGATCAAAACTTGGTTTTAAGAGCATCAGCTCATGCACTGAGGGGTCGCAGGTTTGATCCCTGGCCATAGTTGGTGTGTATGAGAGTGGCAACCAATTGATGTGTCTCTCTCACCTCCCTCCTCTCTCTCTCTCTCTCTCTCTTTCTTCCTCCCTCCTTTCCCTTCCTTCCCTCCCTCTATCCCTCCCTCCCTCAATCTCTCCCTCCTTCCACTCTAAGAGCAATGGGGAAAAAATATCCTCGGGTGAGGATTAACAACAATAAAAATTGGTTTCATAAAGATCACTTTGGTAATTGTATTAAGAATATAGTAGGTAGGGGGTGAAGATAAAGGTGGAAGCAGGTAATCATTCAGGTGATAGGGACATAAATCTTTATGTTCAATGGCACAACATTAACTATTATATGCCTTTTACTGTCAGGATCAAATGATGTACAAGTGGCTACCTCATACACATAATAGCAATGTGCAAAAACTCTCTGGTATTATTGAGACTTGTGAAGGCTGTTTAAATCTCAGATGGAATACTTTTTCTACCTTCTGCTCTTATCTCTGTTTAAGTGTCTGAA